TAAATATATATAAATATATATATATTTACCATGGTAAATTATAATTAGATTTTATGAATCTGATTAAGTAATGATTGCTTACCTGAAGTGTTATTCTCTATTGATCTTTCACTTTTTAATCACTGCTGGTTTATAATATCTAAATCTCCTGTAAACTCCGTGTATTATCCGCCTGCTTCTGACCACTCTGTTCGAGATTTTCCTCTTACCATGTAATGTTGAAACAATCACCGGCATGTGTTGCGCCCATGTTTGTAATGCGTGCTCACGGCGCTTTCTGATTGGTTAACTATCTCTGCGGTTTTACTGGGAGGGATGTTGGACAGTGTTTACAAAATGATGTGCTGTAGACAAGCCGGGCAGTGCATGTGTATCCAGTTTTCGTTAACTGAGAATAAAATATAACCAGTTTATAGACTTAAATTTGAAAGTTTATCACTGAACAACGAACGAATGAACAATTCTATTAATGCGCTTGCATTTTTGTTTCTATTGTGTATAGACTCACGGGTTTTATTCTATTTTCAGTTCGATGAATTTAGCTTATTGTTTATAATAGATGAGAGATATTGAACAATGTGTGAGGATTTTTCCTGATAGCAGAATGGGTGGTATTCTAAATTCAATTGTATCTTATCACAAACATTTTATACGTAAATTTTATCTGAAATCGTAATATAGGAGCAATACATACCTGTCAACGAAACTAAAAGGGTACAATATAATGGTAATTGTTTCTCTCCTCTACGGATGCGAAAAGTGGATCTTGAATCTCATGCACATCGAGAAATTGGAAATGTTTAACATGTTCGCTTTTCGTTCCATATTTGGAATCACATTAATGGATCTTATCACCAAACTTGAAATTTTGGATACTGGGAACTCGATCAGCATCGAATCAATGATCATCAAATAAGAAGTTCGATGGCTTGGCTACGTTAACCGCATGGAACAAAATCGCATTCCTAGATGCATGTTGTATGGAGAGTTGCGTATGTATGTGGCAGAATATATCAAGTCCAAATAAAGAAATGGCACGCCAAATAAACGGAGTGAGCTTCCGACCGATCATATTGGCGTGCCATTATTCAGCGAAGATTTGCGAGCTTTGAAAAGACATGTGTAAAAATAAAAATCAATACGTGTAACATCTTCATTGGTCATAACCACTGTATCTCAACTTCTCCACACTCTGAGCGTTCAGATTTGGTTTACGAAGCCACAACCGGGTCCACTGATGGATTTCAAAACAGAATTAAAAGATAAATTCAGTTCTCTCACACATTTATACAGCCAAGCAACCTCAGTATAGGAGCAAACATTGGAATAAAACTCGTTACATTAGTGATTTATTTGCTAGCATAACTACGGACGAGTGAAGTGTTACAGTTTTTTGTGTATATATGTACTAGTGAGTTAGATCAGATGACTTAACTTACTTTATAGTCTACCAATAGAAGGTTAACCAATCAGAAGCCGTAGAACATTCAATCCGTCGTGTATAAAAGCGGCCATTTTGTTCACTCTACCCGAATGTCCAGTCCAGCTTGTCAGGCGAAGAGAACCAGAAGGACGAACTATGCTCTGCTACTTTTTACCAAAATATCCACTGCTAACCTGAACAACGCTTTCCTACTGTCTTCGAAATATTCACTGCTAACCTCTGGATTCTATACTCGAAAACGACCGTCATCATGAATAGGTTAACGAACGAGAAGAGAGCCACATAGCCTGACGGAGCCGAGGCCAATTTTTAATTCAGAGTTTTTCCTTTTCCTATCAATCCTCTTCTTTTCCCACTCCCGCCATAGCTTGGGGGAGAAGAAGAGGATGTATACCTTTCTCAAGGCACCTAAGTGAATATAATGGATCGTACTGGATTTTGAACTCAGCTCTCTGATTCCTCAATCCGAGCCGCTATCCATTACTCCCCTGTGCTAGGCTAATTTTCTGACTATTAGTTTAACTCAGGTGACGTTATAGCCTAGATTAGTTCGACACAAGGTCATAAGACATTCAGTAAGACGGTCACTACATTATAGTCATAAGAATCTACGTGACTAACTCCTGGGTATGACGATAAACTACATCCAGCAGCAAGGCCTCTTTTGAAGAGATTGGAGGTTTTGAGGAGCTGTTGTTCCCAGGTCCACCCTTATCAGGGGTGGCAACAGCTGTTAGAGTCCCAGCTACGGGTAGATAGTGAACCCTCAAACAAAAACAAAACTTTATCAAAGTATAAAAATACATTTTTATATAAAAAATACCAACAATACATATTTATAGTTAAATTACCAACAATACGAATTTATAGTAGAATTATCAATGCATTAATCCATATAATATCCTACAATTCCTAAAAAAACTGTATGCCAAAATATAACCTCAACAAATCTATAACATAAAACACGCATATCACTGCCTCTAATAATTATGTCCACACAAACGTGTATATGCACAAAAGCTGAGTATCATCTACCATGTACTCAATTGTGAAAGCAGAATAACATATATTATTTTTATTAGTTCAAAGCTCCCTAGAAAATTAAATTTCGGCATTAAATGACCCATATGGAGTTGATATGCCGATAAACAAACATATCAATCAATCAAACTATGTAACTAGCATGATAGCCACTGTTCCATGGTTATGTTCGCTAAGTAAGCACAGTGATGTTTTTATACACAATTTCTCCAAGCATTGCTTCAGTTAACAACGGTCAACCAAGTTCACACGAGCTACATTCCTTAGTTCTACCAGTTCCAAACTTCGCAACGATGATCAGTGAGTTCCACTCAGACAGCTTCATCTCCAGAACTGTTACGTTGTGGGACAGAATATCGAAAGGATGATAATTATAAAATGCATTTTGACCTCCCCCTCTTACGCCCTTACAAAGGCTTCATTTAGTAACTCTTTAACTTGATTGGATCTTTTGCATTATATTAGCTGAACATGAGTATAAAAATGTAATCACAATGATACCTTTTATAAACCACTCCGCTTAGCATTGCTTCAGATATTAATAGTCAACTATGTACATTCACAATGATACCTTTTCTAAACAGTTTCACTTAGCAGTATTTCAGGTATGAACAGTCAACTATATGCAGTCACAACGATTCCTTCTATAAACGGTTTCACCTAGCAGTGTTTCGGGCATTAACAGTGAACTATAAGCAGTCACAACGATCCTTTCTATAAATGTTTCACTTAGCAGTATTAACAGTTAGCTATAAGCAGTGACAATGAAATCTTCTATAAACTGTTTTACTAAATAGGTCTTCAGTTCTTAGCGGTCAAATGCAAAAATAAGCAATGCATAACGTGTATTTCCTAATGGAACCAAAGGAAAGGATAGTGATGTTAGTAATTTTGAGAGAGAAACCGTGGTGTTTCCTTTAAGTGAATAGTTGACTGCTTTTGATTTAATATTTAAGAAGAGTTTGCTAAGTTTTACGATAAGAACAACTCTTCTGTCACATAACTTTTATCGATGTATATTGCAATTATTATTTATTTATTATTCATTGTTTTAAATCACTTATTGTCCTTACCGTATATACTCGCGTATCATGACTATTGAAGACTTAATTTTGAAGCTAATTTGACGAGAGTAAATAGATATATAGTTTGGTCAACGGTGTAGTCAGGTTCGGCAGTACCTCCGCTAATTTTATATCGTGTATGATGCGACCCTCTTAAAATTAGCTTCAAAATTAAGTCTTCAAAAGTCACATGATGCGCGAGTATATACGGTAATTTATTAATGAAACTTAACCATATGCAAGTATCGATAGATAGATAGATATTTGATCCATGTTTTCAGGCATCCGCTAGTGACGTGGGACCATATCCCCTGTGCAGACAGGTGGACTGCCGTGTTTATACTGAAAATTTCCTACCTGGCAACTTAATGCTATTTTTCTTTTTTAAAATTGTCAGCACTCTTTATAAGTTTTCATTGATATCATTTGCATGTTTTATAGATTTTATCGAAATGGTGAATGCACATGCAACATTCAAATGTATTGGTATTTATGGCGGTTTGTAAAAAGGATTTTGGTTCAAATTACATTCATTTTATTGAGTCAGAAAAATACGTAGCATTTTTAAGTGAATTTCAGAGAAATATTTTGATATTTGTACATCTATTCAATCCCATATATGTCATTCTGTTCCACTGTCATTCGCCATCTTTGAGACAGCTTCATGATTCTATAGTTCTTGGGCTTGATATATTTCTGGGTAAGGAACTGATCTAAGCTGTATTAGTTTCTGCCGGGTCGTGTCTGTAAGTAAGTCGTGTGATCTGGCTTTGGCCTAATGGAAGACGACGCCCTTCCGATCGGCCATTTCAAGATGTTTTTCATCGACTGACGCCTTTAATCGGTCCAATTGGGAAGAGTGTCTGAAATCAAGGTCTGATTTGAGGGAAGAAGGTTGTAATAATATTCTCTTCCGATACCACCAGATTTACAACATCACCTTTTTTGGGAGTAGTAATGATAGATCTTTTTTCGTTCTGCATTGTTGAAAGCAATTCATTTTTTGTTGCATGATTAAAAAGTGGATTGTTTTTGTTGCGCTTGAACAGAGAATCACAGAGATAAATGTGTTCTATTTAATGCTTTTCCCATAAATTTTGACGATCCCAAACATAGATTTACGGAGAGTTACGAACTGCTTCGTAGAGTTATCAATATTTAAATTGATTCCATATTCAAATGATCCGAAAACTTATTCACTGACGTAACAATGACACCATAGCGTTCATGAAAAATATACATACACTTACAAGTTAGTAGCATGTACATTTTTATGGCTTATCAATGCTTATTTAAAGAGACATATTTTTAGATTGTAAGGCATTTTGGAGATAATAAACATTTACTCACACAAGTCCTATTAATTAACCCACAGCATTAAGAAGAAGTGGACTCATAGCTTTCCCCAAAGGTATCTGTGCGCAAATGAATATATCGAACACAAGATTAAAGCATTTGATATTCCTAAGCGGTCACCCATCTAGTTACTTACCAGGCTCGACATTGCTTCACATCAGCGATCGTACGAGAACCGGTATTTTAACGTGATATGGCCGTAAGCAGTTTTTATTTTTTGTAAAAGATTATAACAGAGAATCGAGTCAGCTTGATAAAAGACTCCGAATTGGTTGCATGTGGTGCTGTAATGTGGAAGAGGGTGCAACTCCTTCATCAGGAGTTGCATCCTCTTCTACAATGGGCTGTTGGGAAACAAATCAACTGCTGGTGCTTACAGAACCACATACAACCAACTCGGAATCTTTTATCGGACTGACCCGTTTCTCTGTTACAAAAATTGGTCATTATATTTATATATTATTATTATTTTTTTTAATGTAGATTCAATTTACAATCTTTTGGCGAATATTTAGCGATCAAAATACAGGGTGGCCACTGAAAGATTGAATGATATAAAACAAAAGTAACTTTTACAAAGAGATGAGTATTTTGAGGTAGTAAAGTTTGGACCATCTGGATCATGTATGGAATCAGCTCTTCATTTGGTGCTTGAACATCCAGCATTTAGATTTGTGTCTTGATGAGAAGGGAACAATTTAAAATTCAAATTTTAAAATAACTGAATAAAATTAGTGATTTAAAAAGTTTTTCATTTATATTGAGTTTAAAGCAACAAAAAACTTTGTGAATTTAAAATTTTTATTTTAAATTCAGTTTCAAATGTCTTCAAAAACTTTGTGAATTGAGGAACTCAATTTTATTTCCTCAAAATGCCAAGGAATCAGAGTTAAAGTGAGAAGTTTTGTGACGTGAGATTTTGAAGTTTAGTAGGATTTGTATTTTGAAGAACTCAACTCAATTCAAGTTCCACGGAACTTGTGATTTGAAGAACTCAGTTTTCGGCCTGAATTGGGATTTTGGACTAAATCGGAGTTTCGTCCCAAATCGGAATATCGACCTAAATTGGATTTTCGGCCCAAATCTTTGTTTTGACCGGAATTAAACTTATAGACCGAATCAGAGTTAAAGTGATGTTTTTCATGAAGTGAATTGAGAAATTCATAGTTATGTCTTCAAAATTATTGATGTTTTCACAGCTGTACTAGAGCAGGAGCACCTTAAAAGTCTACACGGAGTGCAGCTTTTAAGCTAGTATATAATACTATTAACCTCAATATACGATTGCGTTATTTAGCACATAAGGTTTTGTGTGTTGGAAGATAGTCGAAATCTTTTTTTTTCTTTCGGCCCTTCCCTTCTATCTTTAAGTGTTTTTATGAATTAAATGCCTTTCCTCATAATTCATCTATTTGTTTTGAATTCTTTCAAATAGGTGTGTTAAATTTATATCAATAAATAGAAATATGTTCGTTTTCTTTTTAAGTTACTCATGCTGGTTTAGAAGTGTCAGGCGTCAATGTAGTCCTTTTATTTTTTACAATAATCTGTTCTAGTTCCCTAATTATCTTCTTGATGTTAAGTTGAAACTCGCCAAGTCAGGCGCCGTAGTTCTTGATAAGCCAAGTACTTTCGATCTCCTCCGATATCGTCTTCAGTGGTGAATTGCGAAGATAAACTTAATGCAATTGTAATCGATATGGTGGCGATTTTTATAAACACGCGATCTTGTAAACGCGTTCTGTTATAATTAAAATTATTTTAAAATTAATCGTTGCGTCTACGATGTTTTGTAAACAAGCGTTCCCAATACAAGATGGTTAATCAGTGATGGTAAATTGTAACATGGTGTTAAATGTTAATCAACTCAAATGCATCTTAAAACATTGTTACAGTACTCGTAATAAATCTGTGTTGTCTGGCTGCTTTTGATATAAATTCCTCGAGAACTTGAAGTTTTTGCTTACACACGCGCACACACACACACATATATATATATATATATATATATATAGTGAATTTTCAAGCGTAGCTCAGATGTGGCACAAGGCCGAAAGTATGGGGCACCCAGTGAGGATCGAACTCACTACTCAGTCGCAATAGTTCCAGCGAGACAAGCTTGCTAACCATTACACCACCTCGAGGTGTCCAAAATAGTGATTTTCTAAGCGTAGCTTAGATGTAGCACAAAGCCGAAAGTATGGGGCAGCCAGTGAGGATCAAACTCACTACTCAGTCGTAATTGTTATAGCGAGACAAGCTTTTTAACCGTTACACCACCTCGAGGCGCCCAAGAAATTTTCCAAGCGTAGCTTAGATGTGGCACAAGGCCGAAAGTATGGGGAATCCAGTGAGAATCGGACTCACTTTTCAGTCGTAACTGATCTAGCAAGCCAAGCTTGCTAACCATTTCACCACGCCGAGGTGCCCAACACACATATATATATGTATATATATATATTATCATCCACAGACAGACTGTTTCGCTGTATTACAGCTCTTCGGTGTGGCTAGACATCCGATTGTTTCAAGCTGGAAGCGAAACCTGACCGATTTGGCATCAGTCAGAGATCCTACCTTCGCACGGCAGAGAGAAAGGGAAATTTTAACGTTTTCTATACGAAATGCGCAAGGAGTGCTCAATTCAGTTGATTTAATAGCAGTAGGAGCCATTGTTTTTAAAGTTATCTTTTTCTCAAGAGACCTCAATCGAATTTCCCTGAGATACGTCAGAGAGCTCAATTCAGTTGAGGAGCAATCTGTTAATAGCATTAGGAGCGACTGTTTTTAAAATTACATTTTTCTCAAGAGAGCTCAACCGGATTTCCCGAAAGCACATATATTGGCACCCACAGACAGAATGTTTCGTTGCATCATAGCTCTTCAGTGTGGCTAGACGTCCGATTGCTTCAAGCCGTGGTCGAAACTATATATATATATATATATATATATATATATATATATATATATATATAAAGAAATATAGTCTTAAGGTGTGCTATATTTATGGAATAAAGTGCTCAATATCAGAGATAGAGCGTGTGTAAATATAAAAGTGAACATAAGTCAACACTTAGAGGCGACAGTCTGTTTCATGCTATATGCAATCGTCAGGCCACGCGTGGCCTGACGATTGCATATACATGAAACAGACTGTCGCCTTCTAAGTGTTGATTTTATGTTCACTTTTTATATATATATATATATATATATATATATATATATATATATATATATATATAATGTTTTGCTGTACTGAGTACTGGTGCAAATAAAACAATGCTCGATGTGTAATAACAGAGATAAAATGTATATTAATAATAAATATAGATTTCATGCATGATGCAAACATCAGGTGCTGTTTGATAGTTTCAAAATTTAAATATTGATATTCACAACATTACATACATTATTTTTAATGCACTGTTCCGTCATCAAACCATAAATAGAAAATTAAATAGTATTGATGTTACCCTTTGTGCTGACATGATGAGGCTATTTAATGAAACGTCAGTTTATAAGTGGAAATGTTTGATTATAGTTACAATCAGAAAGACAGTTGAAAATTCTAGAGAAGAGAGTGAGGAAAGAAGACATGAAGAATTTAACACTTACAGGACATACTGAAGACGAGCGAAAAAGAGGTAAATAGTGAGTAACATATTTAAAAAAGTAACGGATGCTGCAACAAGGACAAAAACGAATGGCAAAGGTTAAAATTTAAAAAAAAAAACAGGCGATTGTGGAGAGCCATGATAGCATCATTTCTGAAGGGAAACAGTCCATAAAAGAAGAAAAATATAATGTTGTTTATGTTACAGCTGAAATATAAGAATGTATGTTTAAGGAAAAATTAGATTAGAAAATATGAGATACATAAAAATTACTGAATAAAATTCAAAAATTTGAAAAAGGGAAAAGTTGTTAGAGTATTTGAAAACGCCCCACAATTTGTTTTGCAAACTTCTTTCTCTCTCTTTCTCTCTCTCTCTCTTTCTCTCTAACACACACTGGAATGGAAAGTATCTAACGTGAGAAAATGAACTGAAAATAACGATTTGATCCGCTGGGCATGAATTTGCATCTTGTCTGTCGTCCGAGTTCCAGCTCACGAAACTCTACACAGCCACATAATTCAACTCAGTAACCGTTTATACAAACCAAGATACAGTGTTTACTGAGATGATGTTATATAAGCTCTTCATTGTTTGTTCACTGAATGTTTGCGACGGATCAAAGCCCCCAAGACCGTTTTTTTCAACGTTAGGGCCGAACAAATCAAATAAACTCCTCACCGAGCAGACAGATTCCAGTGGGATTTGAAATAAGAGTTAAAGTCATTGATAAATAGGAGCTTCACCACGAAAGCACCCAGATGGGGAGGGGGTAGAGGGCAAAAAAAGAGATTGTAAAATTAGGGAGGAGTAAACAGATACACAAATAGAGATTTGAGTTCAAGTTTGTTAAAGGTGGTAGAAAAATATAATGCAGAAAAAATAAGCATTTTTTTCAACATGTACATATGAAAATACTCACGCATTAATTCTTTTATTTAGATTATAGATTTTCTTCATTTTCTAAACCATTTTAAACAAATGAAAGGTGAGAAGGCTAATTTTCTTTAATGAGTATTGGAACTTAAACTTTAATGAGTATTGGAACTTAAACTTTAATGAATATTAGGATTTACTCTTTAATGAGTGTTGGGACTTAACCTTTAATGTGTACTGGCACTTAATTTTTAATGAGTATTGAGATTTAACCTTTAATGAGAATTGGCACTTAATCTTTGACGAGTATTGGGACTTAATCTTTGACGAGTATTGGGACTTAATCTGTAATGAGTATCTGAACTTTACCCTTAATGAGTATTGGGACTTAACCTTTAATGAGTATTGGCACTTAATCTTTAATGAGTATTGACTCTTAACCTTTAATGAGTATTGGGATTTAACTTTTAATGAGTATTATGACTTAACCTTTAATGAGTATTAGGACTTAACCTTTAATGTGTACTGGCACTTAATTTTTAATGAGTATTGAGATTTAACTTTTCATGAGTATTGGGACTTAATCTGTAATGAGTATTAGGACTTAACCTTTAATGTGTATTGGCACTTAATTTTTAATGAGTATTGAGACTTACCTTTTAATGAGTATTGACACTTAAACTTAATGTGTATTGGCATTTAAATGTTAATAATTATTGTCACTTAATTTTTAATGAGTATTAGGACGCAATCATCAATTTATTCAATATAATCTTTCCATTTGATGTCAGCGGAAAACGTTAGCATAAGGTGAAATGAAACACTCCTTGGGGGTTAGTATAGGCCATGCTGGCAATAAGGTTCTCTCGGTCGATTAAAAAAGAGCAGTTTCATTTTGGGGACATTAAAATTAAGAAGCCATTTCTTGCCACAGTTAACAGATTGTAGGTTATTTTTGAGATCAGCTGCTAATTTATTTATTATTTCTTAACAATATATTTTTATTTCCCCCCGTATCATTTTTTTTTTTTCAAATTAGATGTTATTAATTTCATCTCCTTTTTTTCTTTGTTATAAGGTGTTTGTACTTTATATTGTCTCCTCACCATTATGGTAAGAAAAAGAAGAAAAGAATACAGGGTCACGGGCGTCAGATTTACGGTGGGTGCATAGAGTTCATGGAAACATAGCAAATATTGCCATCATACAAAATCATTCTGAAAAAGAAAATACGTCTAAAGTTTTCTCTTGGCGCATGCTCATCACACAAAAAGAAAGAGAATACACTTTATAAATGTTTATTAACAATTCTTGTACATTCAACAGTTATACATTAAGGTAAGTTCAAATAAGTTCATTTCCTTGTTTTTTATATTTATTATTATTATTATTATTATTATTATTATTATTATTATTATTATTATTATTATTCATAGAATTTAAGCTCCGGGCTTGACTTCTTTTAAAATACTGAAGTACAATAACCAGTAGTATTGTCATATGATTAGCCGAGTTTTCCGGGTTTAAAGGTTATATTGATGGTCGCGGGCAAGGTACGCTACCTAAATATTTAACGACGACAGGATTACCTGAACAATAAGTAATCGGGGAACAGTTGTGTTTGACATTCTCTAATCTTCACGATATTCTTTTTTAATGTAGGACTGACAGACCAAGTCAGTGTTTTATCAATTCGTGCTATTAAAAGTCTTAATAAAAACAACACAATTATGAGAAAAAATAATGAATATATGTAGGCAGATAAACTGTATTTGTATCTATTCTTGAAGGTTTAGCATCAAGGATAGCAGATAAATCATCAAGGACAGCAGATAAAGATAAAATAGAGATGGTCGAGGTTCAATTTTCTGTGTTGTGGCCAAAAGTTTTGAGCTATGCATCATCATCATCATCATCATCATCATCATCATCATCATCATCATCATCATCCCATGACTGCTTCAATTGTCACGGTGGAGGGGGGATCTAAGGACAGAATAAACAGACAACCTCCTCCAGGAGGATCTGTTGGCGGTGGCTCTCATGAGACCTGGCATTGTCATGTCCGTTCACGCTTTGATATTGTCTAACTAGCTTTGGCGTTGCCGTCTCGCTTGCGTTCCGCGTTCAATAGAATCTTGCATGATGGCCTTTCAGAGGCTGTTATGCCGTGTGACATCGCCAAACCATGACCTCTTCCTACGCTTAATAGTGGTGAGAAGAGATTCCTGTTGGCCCACGAGACTTTTGACTTTGCTCTCATTGGTTTTGTGTCCCCGGTAGAGATGCGGAAGAGCTTTCTCAAGCATTTGTTCTCGAACGCCTAAACCAGGAGTGTCCACGTCTCGGACCTGAGCAAGAGACTAGATACGACCAGCGATTTGTAGAGGTTGAACTGGAAGCTGACATTGCTATTCCATATCCTTTCCAGTCTGGCCACGGCAGCTGTAGCCGTGGCGACCCGTGTGCGGATTTCTGCGTTGAAGGTGCCATCTTTTGACAGGGTTGTTCCCAAATATTTGAAGCTGGACACTTCCTCCAGTGGTTCACCGTCCATGGTGACTCTGGCGCTGGTTTTGCTTGTTCTATTTACTATTATGTTTTTATTTTAATTTTCCATATTTTATTTATTTGCATGTCCTTATAATTTGACAGTTTTTTAAATTCTTTTTTAGAAACATTGGAATCCTCTGGGCAAGTCATATCAATTAGCTGTCATGTTTCTTAAAATGCTTATTATTATTATTATTATTATTATTATTATTATTACACCTCCTCCACTTTGCTGTCTGTTCTCTTCAGTCCCTTATCGGATGATTACCCGAGTCCTAGATTAAAGTAAGAAAGTAAATATATGCATTTTATTTGCACATATTCTACTATTAAGTGATACTTAACATATTTAATGCATATATTTTCTTTACATTGATAATACGCCATGGGTATAACGATAAACTACATCCGGCAGCAAGGCCTCTGAGCGGGGGGGGGGATGGAAGTTTTAAAGAGCGTGGAATCCCCTCTTAATTGCTGTTGTTCCTAGGTCGACCCTGACTCGAGGTGGTAGCACCAAAAAAAAAAAAAAAAAAAAAACATCAAAAAATATATGCTTACGCAAATTAGAAATCATTTGAATTTAAGCACGCCGTCCTAAATTTCATTTTGGTAAACCTGATAATTCTCTTGTTTAATAAGCGAATCTTAGATGTGGCAGAATGAGCAACTGATGAGGACTGAACTCACTACTCAGTAGAAATTGAGACAACGAGACAAGCTTGCTAACCATTACATTCATAAAAGCTATAATCTATAGATTGGAAACCAAAAGTGTTTCTATCTTTTATCCTTATGGAAAAACAGAAGCGCAAATATTTTAATCTCTAAAATAAATGTTCTTGTTGCTTAGTAGTGAGCAGGCTGAATGTAAAGAAAAGTAAATTAAATCCTCTACGGGTGCTCATAGAAATTTGAAATGTGTGGAAATTCATATTTTCTAACAAATATCTGTGTGCATCTATGCGTAAATGACTGTATGGATGTGTGTTAGGATTCCCATCTTTTGTGTGAGTGATCCTCTATATATGTCCTCCCCAATGGTGACACGAAGCAAGAGAAATGAATTAAGTAGGTGTTATTGAATTAAGACTTCTAAATCTCTATGTTTACTTTCCGAGTTGTGCGACAACTACTGGAGAATGTTCATACTCTATTTAGAAAAGCTTGCTTATCCGGATGCACTCACTGACACCCACTATCCATTCTCCTGTGGATACTGTGAAATACTCGTTAAATATTGGTCATGTTCTGGGTCGATAAAAATAAAAGGAAATGTCCTCTTTGGGGATATAATACACTCTAAACTTCTCGAGTCTCTGCAAACACCGCCATCGTCAGACTCTTCAACTGTTAAGGTAACAATCAAATTTATAAAAACACCGACTCCGCATCATTATTATATTTTTGGTAATTTCATGCGGTTATTATTGGTTTACGGCCACATCACGTTGAAACACCGGTTCTCGTACGAAGTTAAGCAAGGTCGTGTCTGGTCAGTACCTAGATGGGTAATCGCTTGCGAATACCAGGCGCTGTAAGCTTTGATTTGCTGGTGGCGTAATGGATAATGGTTCGGAATTGTTAATCGGAGAGCCTAGTCCCAATTCCATATGTGTTAGTTATATTCTCTTACGCGCAAATACCCTTGAGAAAGTTATGAATTCACCTCTTCTTTCCCATCTATGAGTTAATTACTAAGATTTGTATCACTAAAACAATTATTATCCCCCTCCCACACCAAAAAAAAAAAATTGAGCACAAAATATTTAGATTTCGGCATTAAACCACCCATATAGGTTGCTCTGCTTCTAAACAAAACCAAACAAAAAATTATTATTATTATTATTATTATTATTATTATTGTTGCTAGTATTGTTGTTTTTGTGTTTTATCATTGCTTTGTGTAGTACGAGTTGTTCACATGTCAACTAGAATCTTCAAGAGACAACAGTTTTGCGTGCCATGGATGTCTCTCATTTCGGGCCATTTGCCCATGGGTTTATAGGCACTTCAGACGGCGTACGAGATTCAAACAGATGAGGTGCCATGCAATCACAGAGAGAAAAATATGCAATTGTCGTCTCTACATGCAGAGACATCATCTGTGAAAATGTGAAAAGTACCCATAAGTATAATATTTTTTTTGTATTTTACATATTTTAGGGTTACAAGGAATTTATTCCACATATTTGTCTACTTCTTTTCATATAATTCCCAAAGCCGAAATAACAACGTCTTGAGATGCCACATTCTATTGATATCTATTTCGACCGAGGTTCTTGTATTTTCTTATTTTTCAAACTTTTTTGTCGGCTGTGGCTGCAACATCTATCTATCTATCTATCTATCTATCTATCTATCTATCTATTATTATTATTGTTGTTGTTTTGCCGGGCGAGTTGTCCTCATGTTTCAACCAGAAACTTCTATAGACAGCATTTTTTGTGATTTTGTAGACAAATGAGGTGCTATGAAATCACAGAGAAAACAATTGTTGCTAATGTTCACCCTATACATTGCCCAAGAGCCACTCAAGTTAGAGAGTTACTGAAGGACATTGTTGCATGTGATGTAAGAGTAAGAAGTGCATTTTATGGGGATATGTGGGAAAAATAACGGTTTAACCAAAGATTTGCAGAGGTTAAGATTGTAGTGGCTAGGAAAGCACCATCTTGGGAGTCAGTTCCATAAAATAGCGGTTTATGGGAAGAAGTTTCTCGAGTGGAACTTACATCTCACTGACGGAATATGGCGGAATATGAGGTTATTCACTACAATGTGTGTGGCATAACCGGTCTTAGCTGTGAATGTTAAAACTGAATGGAACTAAGGAATATAACTTATTAGAAGATTTTCCATGGAAATAGCGATAGAGTCTAGTAACGTTTCGATTGTGGGAAAGGGATTTTAAGGTGGAAAATAATTCATCACCCACAAGGCAGTGTAGACGCTCTTGAATTTTATCAAGACTAGAAAGTGAAGACTGGGCAACTCCTACCCAGATATGGCCGCAGTATTCCATATCAGGTCTGCGGCCATTCCATATCTGGTCTGCGGCCATTCCATATCAGGTCTGCGGCCATTCCATTCCATATCTGGTCTGTGGCCATTCCATATCAGGTCTGCGGCCATTCCATTCCATATCAGGTCTGCGGCCATTCCATTCCATATCTGGTCTGTGGCCATTCCATATCTGGTCTGCGGCCATTCCATATCAGGTCTGTGTCCATTCCATTCCATATCAGGTCTAATCTGGCTCTTGTAGAGATAGAGCATATCAGGGAGAGTCAGGTACTTACTGGAGTCGTACAGGTGTGACGATTTTTAGTGACGAAATTTATGACGACGTTCTCTGCTCGTCCGTCGTTCACTGTATCTGCATATAACCCGACTTCGCTATGCTTCACAGATTTGTCCAATTGGCCGTGACCAAATTCAACAGAGAAAAACAACAATTGATTTTCAAGACTCTCTGGTTGGGAAATAGCAACAATACGAATTCTCACTTCTTCAGCTGAACTTCTATTTCCTTAAATGTTCACTGGCCCCTTCCACTTCTCAGACTGCCAGTCTCTTCCTCACTGACTGATGGTCCCTTATCTATTTACTTACTCACTGTGTGCAGGGCCTCTTTTTCTCTGTGCTTATATGAATAATAACTGGGGTCCCATTCCCCTATCCATCCACTTGTGTTACGGACGTTGGAAACGATCCAAAAATATGGATGGATGGTCAAATTCTGCAAAGAACTACTTTTATGATTATCTAAAATCATTAACAATATTTAGGTTTCCCAATTCAAAGGCAGCTGTAGATATAAATCCCCAAAACATTCACATTTAAGTTTACTCGAAGATGGACTGGAGACGAAATTCCTACGAATCTCAGTGAACGTAAAAGAAAATCGTATTGTTACGCAGGAAATCGAGCATTTTTCCAGCATCTTTAGCGATGGATTGTATGTATTAATTCCAGTTTAGATCTGAGTTGAGCTTAAGTCCCGGCCTTCTTCAGGTGATATTTCGAACTAAATAAAGCGTTTGGTTCGAAATTCCAATGTATATCACCTGAAGAAAGGCGGTGCGTACAATGGCCGAAATTTCACGTGGGTCGCTAATTTGAACTCCTCTAAAACTAAACTGCCCTCTGTTAAGCATATGAGAAACCTCTTTCTGCCTTCCATCAGCATGGCTAATGCTAACCTCCAGGAGGGTGACTCGTTGTGCCTTCTCGGGTTAACATTCTCGGTTGAAATGAAGTAGAAAGTCTACATTGAATCCGTTGATAGGTCAGCTGCTAAGAAAGTTGGTTCACTGTACAGTGATAAACATTTTTTCTCTCTATCTTATATATATCAATGTCTACCATTCGTACATGTTTAGAATAATGCTGCCACATATGGTCGGGGATTCTAAGAATTTAGAGATTCCGGATAAAATCTAAAGAAGAATCAGCAATATTATTGGTCCTGACCTGGCGTCTCGTAACTTTCTCACCGCCATAAAGTTGCTTTCCTGTGTCTTTTCTATAAATACTTTCATGGTAATTGTTCGGTAATTCACTATGGTTCCTAGACTTTACGAATTTAAGTAAAGTGCTTGATTGGCAACAAGGTCTCACCAATTTACAGTTGATCTGGCTAGATGTAAACGTAAGTTCTATGCTAACAATTTCTTTTCTCGTACTTCTCGCTTCAGGAACTCTCTTCGGGCTCCATGCTTTCCGGACAATTTTGATCTTCAGAAATGTAAATGCAATGTCAATCGTTATCTACTGTCTTCCTGATTACTCTTCTGATGTTCTCGCTTCTTCATAATGTTTTCTGTTTTCTAATTCTTTCGCACATAGTAACTACTTGTATGATAGTGACTTACTCCTTTGATTGGGGTAAATTCGATTAAAAAAACAACGAAACAAAAATACTAACACTTTTTCTTCTTGTTTATAACTATTTGGTCTTCTAGTCTGGACTGGGTGCAGACTACAAAGAAAACAAAACTTATCTGATCCATTCATAACGATTTCATCGAACATCTTTGTGAATTAATGCGTCTATTTAATAACAGCTCGAAAGAAAAATTACAAGACAAGTAATAGTTTAAAAACAATGTTATAGCATCAAAATAGTGGTTTCTTGCTTTACAAGAATACATACTGAAGATTTAAAATTTGGGATTTGCTTAAAATTATCACATCTGCATACGCTTGGTTAAATTTTACCTTTTATTTACAATGTTTATATTAAGTTTACCAATGCTCTTGATTTGCTTATTCTATTGTCATTTTCAAGACACCACTCTTCAGTAACTACAAAACTGTCCTCAGGACAGCGCTCTACAGCGACTACAAAACTGTCTTTCTCAGGACAATGCTCTTTAGCAACTACAAGACTGTACTTCTCAGGACAACGCTCTTCAGCGACTACAGACTGTCCTTCTCAGGACAACGCTCTTCGGCGACTACAGGTTGTCCTTATCAGGACAGCGCTCTTCTGCGACTGCAAAACTGTCTTTCTCAGGACAATGGTCTTTAGCAACTACAAGACTGTCCTTTTCAGGACAACGCTTTTCAGCAACAACAAACTGTCCTCTCAGGACAACGCTCTTCAGCGACTACAATCTGTCCTTCTCAGAACAACGCACTTCAGTGACTACAAACTGTCCTTCTCAGAACAACGCTCTTCAGCGAATACTGACTGTGCTTCTCAGAACAGCGCTCTTCAGCGACTACAATTTGTCCTTCTCAGGACAAGGCTTTTCAGCGACAACAAACTGTCTTTCTCTGGGCAAGGCTCTTCAGCGCCTACAAACTGTATTTCTCAGAACAACGCACTTCAGTGATTACAACCTGTCCCTCTCAGAACAAAGCTCTTCAGCGAATAGAGACTGTGCATCTCAGAACCACGCTCTTCAGCGACTACAAACTGTTCTTCTTAGGACAACACACTTCAGCGACTAAAAATTGTCCTTCTCAGGACAACGCTCGCAGCGACTACAGATTGACCTTATCAGGACAACGCTCTTCAGCGACTACAAACTGTCCTTCTCAGGACAAATCTCTTCAGCGACTACAAACTGTCCTTCTCAGAACCACGCTCTTCAGCGACTACAAACTGTTCTTCTTAGGACAACGCTCTTCAGCGACTAAAATTGTCCTCAAGACAACGCTCTTCAGCGACTAGAAACTGTCCTTCTCAGAACAGCGCTCTTCAGCGAATACAGACTGTAATTCTCAGGACAACGCTCTTCAGCGACTACAAATTGTCCTTTCAGGACAACGCTCTTCAGCGACTACAGACTGTCCTTCTCAGGACAACGCCCTTCAGCGACTACAGATTGTCCTTATCAGGACAGCGCTCTTCTGCGACTGCAAAACTGTCTTTCTCAGGACAATGGTCTTTAGCAACTACAAGACTGTCCTTTTCAGGACAACGCTTTTCAGCAACAACAAACTGTCCTCTCAGGACAACGCTCTTCAGCGACTACAATCTGTCCTTCTCAGAACAACGCACTTCAGTGACTATAAACTGTCCTTCTCAG